TGGACTAGCCTTCAGTCAAGCAAATGCTTCCTTCGTCTAACCCTTAATGCCAAACTCAAGTTATAATGGTATCTAGATAGGACAAGTGACTTCATTGTTGCCTCAGTTTCTTTAAGATTCTTCTCATTTTATTTTATGATAGAAATAAAGAAGGATAGAAACACAAGAATTATTTTAAAATATAATTTTATTTATGAGAAAAGAAAGGGAAAGTTCCCTTTCCTCTTGAAGGGTGTTTACAGATGCATAGTAGAAGGCTTTCAGGTAAGGTATTTGGATATTCAAATGCCCAATACCTATTATAGATTATAGGAGGCTTTTTATAATGCTCCTTAGAATCTTTTCTTTTGTCATTGCTGACGATTAAAGTTTACATTATTGTCTGGTGATCTAGACTTACTTCTTGCTTTTGCTAAAGCAGATTACATAGAATCTTGTAGATGCTCTTCTTTTTCTTTAGTGATGTAAACGCTTACGTCTTTTCGCATTGGATTCTTTAAAAGATGATGAAATCCTCTTCACTATCTGATGGGGTGGTCCCTTTGTCACATGGGGCTTTAACTTTTCCTTTTGCAAATTCTTTTTTGTAGCAAAAACCATAATCACTGTCATGCTTTAACAGCTTGCATAGTCTATTATGGATTGTTTTACTAGCTGGGACCAGATTTTCAAATATTTCCTTTCTTTTCTACTTTATTTTGAATAGGCTGATGCTTGTCATTAATCTTGCACCAGTGGATACCACTGAGATTTTTTTAGAGAAGCCATATGTTGATGTCTTCCTCATCTCTATCATTCTGTCAAAGGTTTGAAGTAAAACCTTGAATCCTAGAGCTCGTCTCTCTTAGATGAACTTCAATCCCACAAAGAGACTCTTCAAAGTCTTGAAAAATTTGATCTTCATTTGCTTCTACCTTGATTTTCTTAGATTGGATTCTAATTTGAACTATATGATGACTGGGGAAATATTGAGATTTCTCCCATTCTAGTGCTATAGAGTAGATTTTGACAAATACTACCCTTTGAGCTTTGGTGCCAGTTTTGAAGTCTTTCACTCCTTGTTGTATAACTTTTGGAAGTTTTGAAACTTCTTGATTATCCTTTGAGAGATAAATACAGCTTACAAAACCGTAATTAAATAACTCTTTTATTGCTTTTGGGTTGGCACCTTGCATGAAATTAATTCTGGGATAATTCCCTTCATGGATATGATGGCAATTCTCAATGGACCTCATTGAATATGCCATTTTACAAATTCTGTGGTATTCTTGTAGATATTCTTCACTCATTATCATTTTTGACAAGGTGTCTATTATTGCAGCTTTCTTTTCTTTCTTTCCTGAGTAATCAGATCGAAACTTATGACTTTCGACATTTTGAATAGCCGACTTTTTAGCTTGAGATGTTGATATTTTTGAGGGAGAGTATTTGACATAATAGTCAAACTTACCTGAACTTTCTCCAAGAAATCCTACTAAAGGATCACCTTGTTCAAAAATTTCTTTTAGCTCATGTTGGGAGCTTTTCTTTGCCATCTGGCTAGATTCTTTAGAATTAATTCCGATAGTAGCAATAACTCCGGAACTCATTAATTTTTCTATCAGTTATTTGACCTCTTCAAGGGCATCCTGCCCCTTATTTAATAACTCATGGCCTTTAATAATCTTTTCTTAGCCTTCATCCATAAGGTTATGGCCTTCATCAATTATTTCTTGGTCTTCAATCATTTTTGCTTGGCCTTCTCTTATTTGGCTATTGCCCTCAATGAGTATCTCTTGACCTTTGAGAATAAGGTCTTTCCCTTTATTTTGGAGTTTCAAGATTGCATCCATTAGCTCCTTCTCTACTCAAGAAATCTGCAAGACAAATTATTAGTTCCTTTGACATGTTCAATTTCAAAATCATATTCACCAAACAAAGTTTGCCATCTATTTAATCTTTTATATTCTGGTGTTAAAGGTAATTTATTAAAAATAAATCCCTTGACTTGAGTATTGTCAGTTTTGACCTTAAAATGTTTTGGTAATAAGAAGAAACTGAACTTTTTTATTCCATTTTTAATAGCCAATAACTCTTTGTGATTTGAATGATATCTAGTTTCTACATCTTTAAATGTACCACTAGCATATCTACAAATTTTTTCTTGAGAAAATTTTTAAAGCTGCTCCCCAATAAAAATACGAGGCATCACATTCTAAAATTAACTCTTCATCTTCTTTAGGCAATTGTAGCCTAGGAAGGTTTTTGCAATATTCTTTTATTTTTTTCATATGATTGTGATAAATTTCTCATTGTTGATTTTTCTTTTTCCTTAGTGACTTTTGCAAAGGATGTCTTAATTGAGCTAGGTTTTGAATAAACTGCTCTGCATAATTGAGTATTCCTAGTAACCTTTGAATTTGTTCTTTAGATTCTAATTTATCTGGGAACATCGAAATCTTTTCGCTAATGTGAGGTTGTAATTCTATTCCCATGGAATCTATTGTTAATCCAAGAAGTTCAATTTTGGTTTTTCCTATTTCTGCTTTCTTTTCAGAACGTAATGTTCCATGTTTCTTGCATAAATATGCACATTTTTTAAGATGATATAAATGTTCTTTCTCATTATCGGAGAAGATTAATAAACTATGTAAAATTTCTTGATGGAAGAAAATACATTATCCATCCTTCTTTGAAATATTTGAGGTGCATTTTTTAATCCAAAAGGCATTACTAACCATTCATAGTGTCCTGTAGAGGCACTAAAGGCTGTTAGTGGGATATTGTCAGGAGTTAGCTTAATTTGCCAAAATCTTCATTTGCGATCAAACTTTGAATACATTTTCTTTCCCCCAATGCTATTGATTAGAGTTTCTTTATGTGGTAAAAAGTTACCAACAAATTTAGTTTCACTATGAAATTGTTTATAGTTGACAACCATTCTAGCTTTTCCTCTTTTTAATTCATTATAATTTCTTACCATAAAGGTAGGACTACTATTGAGACTCTTAAAGGTCTATATAATTTTCTAGGCCATTAACTCTTGAATTTTCTTATCAAATTCTTCTTTATCTTCAAGGCTATACCTCATTGGTTTGACTCTATTGATAGTTTTTGGGTCTATCAATTTGATTGTGGCATAAGTTTTATCAACTCCCCATAGTTTTGTAAGATTTTCTCCATAGTTACTTCTTAATTCTCCTAAGATAGATTCTAAAGTTATTTTTTCTTGTGTTTTTTCATTTCCACAATGCTAACATTGGTTTTTTAATCTCTTTTGATCAAGTTTTTGTATTATCTTCACCACGTTGGCTGCGAAAATTTAATGGTTCTATTGCTCTAGTATAAGCATTATAAATTCTGGAGGCATAACGCCAATGTCCACAAGGTGTATAAAATTTTACATATGATGCAATTTAAACATACTGCTTGAATTGACTTAAGAAATTGTTTCCTAAGAGAATATCATTCCCATGCTTGTTACTTTCATAGACTCGGGGAATTATAACTTTAGTTCCACCAATTACGATAGTAACTCCTTTTATTATTGTTTTATATTGAATAATACTTCCATCTATAGCTACACCTTTCATAGTTTGAGAGGTGTTCCTCCAATAATATTTTGGGAATACATTGGTTTTGGCTAAACATATCCCAAACCCTATATTTATAAAAGCATGAAAAAATTCTATTTTGTATTTTTCATATTTGATTCCAATGGATATGTGTATACTAAAGATACTAGTCTTCATAGTATCATGGTATAACTATTTCTTTTCCACTTAAGGTAATCTTTAAACAATGTTCTTGGATATTGTAAGGCTATACCGATGTTAAGAATGCATTTCCTAGCATTAATTCTATAATTGTAGTCATTTCTGTTTCAGCATGAGCTGTTATAGTGATTTCATGTTGTATCTTATTCTTATCCTCTATTTTAAGAGGTACTTTAACATATTCATGTACTATGGTCACTGCACCATTAAAGTTGTAGTATGTGTATGGCTTAGTGAGTTCAGATCTCGGTAGGTGTGGGATCATATCACTATGGATATGTGTTACTCCTGCTCCTGTATCTATTAGGATACAAATGTT